CCAGTATATTACATACATTTATCCATATTCAATTTATATCCATTCATATTGTAGCAATATTTTTCACCAGCTTAATTCCCCCTTTTTAATAAGCATGCATAGTTTCGTAGATTCCATCTCCTTTCAAATGCAGGCCACGCTTTTAAAATCTTTCATGAGACCCATTCTGCCTGCATTAAGACTCCACTCTCTACCTGACCAGCTTAAATTAATCATTCTTGAACATGAAAGCGATTGGAATTTACACAGTATTTCGCCTGAATCTCTTCAGTCCACTGGGCAATGGCGTTAATTATCAACTGAAAACATTTCAATCTGATGTATCTACAACTGACCAACCTTTTCCAGCCATGTCACACTGCCGGCCCGTAGTCATCCTCCGATCAGTGTCACCTGCAAATGTCACGTCATTTATCTTGCTTTTACATCAAAGTCTCAAGAGTGTATTAGCAGAACTGATTGCAAAGTCAGCCCGGAGGACCGTTAGCATCTTTGTCCCCGTCGTTCCCCTTTCAGAGTAGCACAACGCAACCCAAGCACCCAGCCCGCAGCTCTTACCATGAACTAATAGTGCACACCTGCAGGTCGAATACAGCCCCGGGGTCACTCATTTCGAGGAGTGTATACAGGAACCTGTAATGGTTCAGCGAGGGAAAAGGGGAACGACAGAAGTCTGGCACAGCTTTGTACAAATGTCTGTAGAGTGAGAGAGATCCAAACTAGGAAAAAAATGAAGCAGGTGAGGTAAATGGAAACCTGTAAAATCACGAGAGGATCGACAGGGACTGTTCGCTGCCCATTCCAGCGTAAGAGGAAGGCGGATGAAGCTAGCAGGTGGCAGGGTCACGGCAAACCAGAGGTGTGGATCTATGCATAACGCAGTCAGGCACTGGAACGGCTTGCCATGGGCTGCTGTGGATGCGAAATCTGTGCGAGTGTTACAGGGGTACACACTAGACATGGTCACGAGAGAGACTTGAGAGCTACCTACAGAAGTGTCCTGTGCCTTCAGAAGTCCCCAAGTCACAGACTGTAGGAGGCTGGAAAAGTATTCAGGTAAAAATATTGCTTGTCGTATTCTTCCAAAGAGCAACCAATTTTGACTCAAAAGTCTCGAGTTGGGGAATTTCGTAGAACTTAGTTTATTGCCAACTAACATAAACTTTCAGCTACTGATTCTGGTATTGAGAAATAAAGATGACAAACAATGAAACAATCACTTAGATTGTTTAATATAAACCAGAAAATTTATTTGCAGTATTGGGTTTTAGTACTGCTTGAATTCATTCCTCTAAAGTTTGATTTTGCCTGTCAATTCAACTAAGTAGCACCTCTTTTTATATAACATTCTACATATTTTTTCAGATCCATGCCCAAATTATTTCATCTGCTGAAAACTTCCTTTTGAAAAGAAGTATTTGTAGGTATTTGTTCTGTTTGACTTAGCTGACTTTTCAGGTAATTGGTACTTTCACTTGTGTTTTGGAGAGTGCGCTGCTTGGTAGTTTGTATCAATATTAATGGGACTTCAAGGGTTCTCCATCTGCTAGGAACAGGTAATAGAATTTAAAGAGTAGAAAAAAAAATGCAGTGGTATCTGGAGTAGCTTAATTAGAATTTTTAAAGATGTTGCAAGTGCTTTCCTCAGAATACTTCAGAAACCTTGCCCAGGAGTCTGCTCGCTGCAGCTAGGGACAGCCATGGAACAGACTTCGGTTTTGTCATACGGAGGGACCGATTTCATCCTGTTTTGCACAATAATACATCACAAACAATCCACTTACTCTAGAAGTGTATTTAGTTGTTTAATCTAGTCCTTTGTTTTGTAATTTCTAAATTCTAGCGTTACTGTTTCTAGCCAAGACAGTTCCACTTGAAGTTGAGATACTGTTTGGAGAGTTTATCCAATGGGAATAAACTTGGCAACTATGCGGAGGGGGTGCTTCTCACAGCAACAGGAGGAGTGTTGCAAAGCAAGACTAATAGTCTGCTTTTCAGAGAACAATTTACAAACTACTTTAAAAAAATGACATTGTTAGTGCCGATACAAAAAGTATTAATATAAATTTTGCATTGTCTTTTTGGGGGTTTTGGTAACCAAATATAATTAACAGTAACATCAGTTAAAAGGTTTCAGTTTTCCTTAAAATAAATGTTTCTGAAAAATCACAGACTTCAGTTATGGTATATTTTCTGACTTTAAGTATATAGTGATAATTCTTGCCAAAGAAAACTCAAGACTGTATACTAGAACAACTGAAGTACCATAGTTCAAAGACTGACATGCATTGATTCACAAGATTAATTTGTTGGAGTTGCAATGGATTTTTCCCAAATGTGTAAGTAAAGTAATATGCATTTTCATTTTAAATTTTGAAAATATAAGTAAAGTTGCATATAACCTTGGGCTAAAGCAACACCATTTATTTCCTTTTTCTACCATTGAAGAAAGAGCTGCAGTTTTTTTCCACTGGATGAGAATGTACCATACTTGGGGAATTAATTAATTGCCCTTTTTTTTTTCCCACTGGATCTAAAAATGCATTTAATGAGAAAATGTG